ATTATTTTATATTTTTAATATAAAATTAGATATATTTAAATTTTTAATATTTTTTAAATATACTTTTAATAAATATAAATACTTTTAATAAATTGGACAAAGCAATATGTTACAAAAAGTAGAACTTTATATTTTTTTATTTAAATATTATTGTTTTTTTTGTTAATTTTCTTTGGTTATTTTTGTTAACGTATATTGCCGCTTATATATCATACAGTTAATATATGTTATATATATTATATTTGTAGGTTATAAGTATGTATATATATTTAGTTTAGTAAAATATAATGGGTACAATTAATAAATATAAGGCCAGTCATTTGCTCGCTCACACAGAACTCGCAAGACTGTTCGCTCGCACAACTTTTAAATATTATTTTGTACGCACAACTCTTAGCGCACAACTCTTAATTCTTTACTCTTAACTCTTTCTCGTTACTTTTCTCGTTGGCGACGATCATCAAACTGAACTTTCTGAGCTCGTGGTATCCCGAATTTATAGGGATATACCGACGACACTAAACTACACACACTACGCTACTTGTTTTTATAAACAATCAAAGTTGCTTAGGAAGGGTTCCTCAAAAGTGCCGCTTTCAAAAGACGCCGAATAATTTAAAAGAAAGCCGCTATCTCTACTGCGCGACACCGCTGCGTCTTTCGCACGATGCTGCTACCTTTTTGATATGCCGCCGATTTTCTCTGTCGGACGCCATTTCTCTCTTTTCTTAATTTCTCTCTCTTTTCTCTCTCGCTCTTACATCACACTTATACACATACATTGCGGTCTATTTTTTTATCCTACATTCGGCCATTCTGCAAGGGCATTCTCCCTCGAATGTCCTCGTCTTCGCACTCGTCTTCGAACTCGTCTTTGAATTCGTCTTCGAATTCGTCTTCCGAATCATCGCTCGATAAATCTATCTACGGCTTCATGTGATCGACAGATGTAGATGTTTTTAACGGTCCCTCATGTTCGCCTACTTCCTGCACAATATAACGATCGTTTCGCAGCACCTTTGTTACAGTGTACGGGCTAAGATACTTATTAGCTAGTTTTAAGCCAGGGCCTAATTGTGTACGCTTAATCGCTACTAAATCATTTTCACTATATTGTCTCGCCGCTTTTTGTCTTTTTGCAGAAGTTTTTCTATTTTCGTGCTGGATTTTTGCA